TCATGAGTAGCTTTTCGAACAACCAAGTGTTCTGTTTGCATAGGACTTCATTTTAGTCTGTAGTTTTATCTGAAATATATCTTATCATGGCATTTGAAATTTCAAAACAACCTTATGCACTAATTATACATACAATATGTGAGATCATGTAGCTTTAAATTATTCCCTCCGTTTCATGTTTTTTCCTGATAACACATAATTTAGTTTCACTCATTACAAATTTAATACTTGCATGTTAAAAACTAAAGTGGAAAACAATAAAAGTTATCTATATAAATTTACAATTTAAAAGAGAGCTGTATTGAGCGCAGAATTGCAACAGGGACAACTAATTTGAAATGGAGGGAGTATGAGATAAAAGCTATAAGACAGAAATTAACTTATTAACTTTCTTTACAGAAGTAGCATCTCAATCAGTTGGGCCTGCTGCGTCTTCAGCAGTCCAAGAAATCACAAATCCGACGTTCACAGTTGATGTGACCTCTCAAATCGGTGCAAGCATGCCTCTAAAGATGATGCGTATTGGGACCCTCATTCACAATCTTGAGATGCGACCCGGCCAAGGTCCGAAGCTAGTCCGTGGATGGGGCACAGTCGCCAAGATCATGACTGAGCCCAGGTCTGAATCGTCCAGGTACTGCGAGATAAAGCTCCCGTCTGGTGATAAAAAGATGATTGATGTCAGGTGTTGGGCCACGATTGGGCGAGCCCCCAATGCAGAGCATGCATCGAAGAAACTTTATAAGGCGGGACAGAACAGGTGGCGGGGGATCAGGCCGACGGTCCGTGGTGTGGCGATGAACCCAGTTGATCACCCGCACGGTGGTGGGGAAGGCAAGAGTAAGAGTAGTGGTAGTCACGGGAAGGTGTCGCGTACCCCTTGGGGTAAACCCACCAAGTGTGGCTATAAAACTGGCCGACTTAAGAGGAAGAATTGATTTGTTTTCTTTGCTCCCAGTTTTTATGATTTTTTAACTTACCCAATGTCATACAGTAACTTAAAAGCTTTAGAGAAGGGAGTGGAACTGCAGACTTTTATAGCTAAAGAAAGTGACTTGTGAAAAGATGATCCAGAGTAGCATGAACTGCAAGCTTGAAACCCTTTCTGCATTTTAATAATGGTTGCTTAGGAACCCGTAGTTTGACATGTTTGTATAATCTTTTTTAGAAAAGCAACTATTCAACTTCTAGCCAGTCTAATATGCCATTTTTGCTTTTGGTGCATGATTAAAGTTTTTTGTTGCATATTTGATTCTTCTGCCCAGTGCTCACTACTATTAAAGCAAACCAAAATTTGTACAATTGGTCTAGCAGTAGGTAATGTCCCCAGATTGTACCAGATCTTCCTGGGTAAAAACATACACCCCGGGACTGCAAATATGAACTGGAAGCTTGAACTGGCCTCAGTGCCTCACTCATAAACGGTTCCTAGGGGTTGGATTGGGCTTGTCTCAATATAGTTTTACTTGAACAGGCTATTTGCATTTTGCAGACACAAAAAGCAGCATGTTCACATACATTTCACATACATTTGTACTGGTGTGTACAACAACCGGGGCTGAAATGTATTGATTCCATCTCATGATAATCTTTTTAAATAGATTTTGCTTGTAGATTAAGGAAGCGTAATTGTGTGATACAAAGTTTTGTAAATGATAGAGAAGCGATACGAAATTACGAACTATGTTTTCTTTGCTATAAAAGGAAATTGAATATTATTCTGCGCGCAATGGATCAAACTAGAAAGAATGAGGATAATTTTGAAATAGAGGGAATATCATTTTTTCTTAATTAGGCCCATTTCTTTGGTATAAAAGGAAATTGAAATTATTCTGCGCGCAATGGATCAAACTAGAAAGAATGAGGATAATTTTGAAATAGAGGGAATATCATTTTTTCTTAATTAGGCCCAAAAATGCAAATATGACGTCATACATCAAATTCCTAAAAATGCTCTTGATCATACAACTTTGAATAAATTATTTTCACTCATGAAGAGAAATCGTCACTAAACTGCCGGTGACACTATCTGAAAGTCATTGATTCCCGAGACCTCCAACAGTCCAACTGTCAGTCTCCTCTTCCACTTCCAATATCTTTTTCTCTTACACTTAAACTTCACAATGTAAAATTTTTAAGCTCCGGTCCTCTAAGCTAGTCATGGACTTGGGTCCGTTCTAGTTCGGACCTGGGCCCGATCGGGCTTTTTTTGGGAAGGAAGAACCGGAACCGGCCCGAGTAGGTAGTGGTTCCGGACCGGGCTGAGCCGGGCCGGTTCATGTTTTTTTTTTAATTTCTTCTAATTAACCACCGACCCCCCCTCCCCTCACCCCCAACCCCCCCCCCCCCCCTCCCCAAAACACCCAGACCAACCCGGGAGAAACCCAAAAAAAATTGAAAAAACAAAAAAAAAGTATAGGTTGGGCCAGTTCCACTTTAGGAGGCCCGATCCCGGCCCGATTAATTCCCGGTTTGGGTGGCTCAGACCGGTCCTATAACCGGGTACCGGGCCGGGTGGCCCGATCCGAGTCCATGACTACTCTCAGCTAATGATAAAACCACCTTAGAAAGGATGACCCTAAATCTTAATGCTAAATGCTAAATATGTTCTAGATTAAAGTTATTGTCATTTACAAATAAAGGATGATATAATGCCTACACCATTTGTTCCTAATAATTTTGTCATTTTCCATAAGTAAGCCTCATTTTTCCTTTTAATCAATAAGTTTGTGGTTGTTATTGTTTGTCTCTTCTGTACAAAGTTTAACCACAAAATTTTTAATTTATTATTTTCTCGTGTCAATGAAATTGAATTTGACAAATCTTTGAGGAGTGAAGGATGAGGTAAAATGCTAATTAAATCGAGTGAAGTGTCAAAAAATGTCAAAAAAATGCTAATTTAAAACTTAGAGAGATCTCTTTTTTGAAGAGAAAAACAAAAAGCATCTCATATTCATACCAACCTTCCAGATTAAGTATAAAAATCATAGGAGATGGTCCAGATTCAATTGCTATTAAATGCAAACATTGTATTTGTACATACAAATTCGATTGTTATACATAATTTTGTCATACATACATTATACGTAGGCTAGTAATATGAGTCATATGACTACTAATAATGGGAGGCTTAATTTGGAAAGGAATAATGGCGATTACAAGCACAGCCAGATCACATGTACGTACCCCACCATTTCAAATTTCAGCGCCACCAAAAAACAGTACGTACGTGGGGCCAAGAAGTAGACGGAAGAATGACGACGGAGGAATCCATTGAAGAAGATTTATCGTACGAGCCGTCGTCGGAGGTTGATTCGGCTTACGAGTTCGATGCGTCTCATTACTTTGACTTCAGCCGGCCGGAGTCATCTTCCGACACTGAACGGGCCGAGCGATGGTTCCACGTGGCCGGCTATTATCCACCTTCGCGTAAGAATAGAGTTTTTTTACAAGAATATCACTAAAATAAAACTTATTTACATAAATATGACTATTCATTACCACAACGTGGTGTTGTAGTAACTTAAATTCAAATTTTGAACATGAATTACTATTATTTCATTAATACTCTAGTAACTAGTCATATTTTTGTAAACCATCTTTATTTTGGTTATATTCATGTAATTATTTCGTAAGAATATTCTCATCTTTTTTACTTGAGCTCATCAATAGAAAAATGGTACTTCCTCAATTCTAAAAGTTATATAGCGAAATCAATTTATTTAGGATGAAGAAAGCAGTCAGTAATTAGTCGCTATATATGTCTTTGTCATTTATAAAAAAAATGGGGTAGGAAAATATATTAATCACTACCTTAATTATTGAGTAAGTATATATATACTACTACGTACTATGTACTCGTAATACATAATTCTTGATATCTAATTATTTATCACTCAATTGTGAATATTGTGCTCCAGAAAATGGGTGAATTTTTCTTAAGTTGATCAAACTAATGTAGTGAGTACGTACTGGTTCCATTTCAATATAAAAATCATGGAAATGGAGCATTACATTAATGTTTTATGATGGAAATGGAAATTCCATATAACTAAAGAAATAAATTTAATACTTTTGATTTGTTTACGTACTAGTAGGAACAAAAGATCGATGTTGATCGACTTGCATTAACGGATGCACTTTTGATTTGTTTACGTTCTATGGTACCCATAAGGTACCATAACTTTGTCCACATGGACTAATGAAAAGGTAGCAGTTTAATTATTTAAATCTAAATTAAAATTGATAAAGTGATGTGATCCAATCAAATGAATGCTAGGTACGGTACCCTTATTTTTAGAAAGGTACCGGAGTTGTCACCTATAAACCAACATAATATAATAGGGAGTATGGAGAATTGAATGAGAAAAATATAAACATAATATAATAGGGAGTATGTAGAATTGATGTAATAGTTTATTTTCCAATTCGATCTATTTAGGGGTGTTTGGAACTGATTCTGCTTCAGTTTCTTTTTTAAAGCAGAAGCAGAATCAGAATCAGTTTTCCGAAGTTGATTTCCCCCAACTTTAAAAAAACTGATTCTAGACGTAAATTAAAGCATCAAAATCAGTTTTGAGAAAAAGGTGTAGATTTTTTGCTTCAAACAATACGGCCTTTTCAAATTCTTTATAACTAGTCTTGAAACACCCAAAAGTTAAATCATAAATCCTTCACTATTGATTTGATTAAACCGCCTCTCGTGCGTGGATTAAATTCAGGTTTCTATTTCAAGTCGAAAGTGATCATTAACACACAAGAAACAAATGATGAAGAGATGAAAGGTATGAATTAAAACGTTCCACATATACATGCACATTATATAACTATAGAGCATCTCAATTGAAGTTTTCTTAATCTTTTTCAACTGGTTGATGTGTATTCAAAAACTTGTACATACGTCTTAGCAGGGAAGACGATGGTGAATAATGGTGAGGTATTAGAAGAGACTCCAAAAGCTAAACCTAAGGCGGCAACGACGCAAAAATCAGGTGGTAGCAAAACGAGGAGCTCATCAACGTTAATGAAACCTACGGCCAGCCACCTGGCCAGGCTCAACCTATTGGCTGCGACACAAAACGATAATGAAGCTACAAAAAGGCAAAAGCTTGAGAGCGGTTACTTGCGTAAGGTACGTAGTAGAGTGTGTCGCCTTCGTCTTCGCAAGACCAGACCAGACTTAAACACACTAGACCAGGTTAAACAAGACTTTCGTAGTTATAAAATACACAGAGATCAGACATTTATCAGACCAAATGAGCAAATTTCAGTTCAAATTAAAAACATCCTAACTACATGGGACTCTTGTACTGGTGGGACGGATGCATGAAGAATTAAAGTATGGGTGATACCATTTGGGTATACCAATAATAGTATAATTAATACCATTTGGGGTGAGGTGTAGAGAAATAAAACAAAAATAAATGGCATTTGTATCTGAATTTTTTGTAATTAGGGGATTATTATATCCTTTCCGCTATGAGTTTGAATGACATTCATCAAATTGAGTGCAAATGTACGCGTCAAATTTAGCAACATTGAGAAATTGTTGAGACTTACTCCGTTTATTACAACGGAAATGCATATATGAACTTTATAAAATCGTCAAATAAAATGTGATAATATTTTTGAACTTGAGTGCTCATACATTATAGAAGTTCAATATCTTTATGTATTATCTCAAATGGTTAATATGTTACAGAAAACGATGGGGAAAAAAAACGATCGAGAATGTTAGAAAACGATAGGGAATGTTAAATGGTAGTTAATTTGTAATATAAAGAGTCAGGAGTTTTCTTCTAGCATTAAGAGTCTATTTACAGCTTCCAGCACTTTTATTGTCTTTAAATAATGCATAAGTTGCATCTTTTCATCTTCTCTATATTCTTCTATAAATAGAGAAGTTCTATAAGCAAAAATTGACATGGTCAAGCAATAAGATAAAATCAGATTATGTTCTTTTTTCATATACTTGCTCCATCTTAATTCCGTTGACCCAACATATTTTGGTATTTCAAAAGGTTGACCTTTTAGTATGGAACCTCAGATCTTAACATGGCATCAGAGCCAAATCGATCCATGATGTGGGCCCCCTATGAAAAATGATGACATGATTATTATTAAAAAAATGACAATGATGAAACGACAAAAAAAAAAATTAATGACGACACGATCCAGACGAAGTGTTTGGTCATGAGGAAGGGTGTTAGTCCCACACCGAAATGTTTGAATCAACGAAACACTATATTAAGATCTGAGATATTCCTCCTATAAGACCTTTTAGGATGGAACCTTGGGTCTTAACATGGAAAAGATCATTTTAAATGTTCATCTCCTTCACAAGAAGTACAAAGGAATTAGTTAATCTGTTATACAGAGTAATTGATTGTTTTATTTGTTCCAAGAGGTCCCAGGATGAAACACATCGTTGTGCCGAACTGCGGTCGAAATGGCCGGTGAGGAAGCAGAAATTTGGCAAAAAGAGGGACGAAGGGACGTACAAGATATAGGTTAAAAGAGGGTGGGAATAGGGAAAATGAATACCAGAAATAGGTTGCACACATCTTATACTTAAAACTGATTGTTGCACGGTCCTGTGAAAAACAAAAAGGGAAAAATACCAATATATTACTAAAACATGTCCACTTTCCCAGAATATGACTTAAAAAGTTTATTGACCATTATATGACTAGTAATGGGTGTAGAGGCATACGACATGCTTTAATATAGCAGTTACATTTGTAAGATGGCATGTCATTAATGCACCATTCTAGGAAAAAAAACTATCCAAGTCATACATGGGGAAATTGTATCTCTTCTAGTCATACATGTGTTAATTTTCTCAAAAACAAATTAGTTGTATTTAGGGGATGTTTGGAACTGATTCTGCTTCTGCTTCTTTTTTAAAGCAGAACCAGAATCAGAATCAGTTTTCAGAAGCTGGTACCCCCAGCTTCTAAAAAAACTGATTCTGGGAGTAAATTAGAGCATCAGAAGTGCTTCTGAAATTTCACCCAAACACTTCAGCTTCTGCTTCTGCTCTCTGAAGGAGCAGAATTAGTTTTGAGAATCAGATCCAAACACCCCTTTAGTCCTGTAAATTATGCACACTTAAAATAAGAAATATTTAATATAACCATTTGTCCATTTGGACTTGTCCAAACACAGCAACATGAAACAATTAGCAGCCAATTAGATTTTCAAAATCTCATACATATTACATATTCCCTCTGTTCTCTAATACATGTCCCACTTTCCATTTTGAGATGTTCTCCGATACATGTTTCTTTCCCTTTTTAGAATGTTTTTTCAATAAATATACTTATATACTCTCATTCTCTTTCATACTTTTTCATTCTTTTTCCTACTTTTTCCTTTCCACACAACTCACTACACCTTTTCTCTTACCTCTTTAATTCATTCTTAAAACTTGTGCCAAAGGCTATACTCCCATGAGTCTCATCTACGGAGTATTAGAGAACGGAGGGAGAATTAAGTATTCCGCAATTTTTAATAATTAATTACTGTATTGTTGATCATATATACACCACCTTGCTCGCTCAAATATTAGGTTGCTCATTTGAAGCATCAAACGTCGTTGTTGCACAAGTCGTCCCAGAAGGTACTTCCCAAAACACACTATATTATTAGTTGCTAAGTTTCATATTCATTATGTTTTTAATTTGATTATATATATATTATGTTATGATAGGGTAAGGTCTAGTCTGACTTGGTGGCAGTGGTGGAGCCACTATTGTTAAAAGGGGTTCATATGAACACCCAAATTTTTAAAAAACATGCATGTATGTATATAGGTGTAATTCTTAATCTTAAAAACTTATAAACACCAATGATGGTTAGGATATTTTTGGTATATTAAATGTGTTGGTGTAACACAAAGCAATATATTGTTGTACTCTTTTTAGTCTTGTTCCTTTATTACCTCCGTTAAAGTCCAAGCGGCGAGTCCCATCATTGTATATATTCAGCCGTTGGTTTATTGATCAAACTTTATTCCTTTTGAGAGCATTGAATGTAGTTTTTCACATTTAATAGTTTCATTTTATTTAGAACTTTAAATCCGTTCTTCGGGGTGCGTAGCGAGCTTAATCATCGTTTGAAGTATATTCAACTCTAAATAATACTACGTAATAGAAACGGTTGTCATTGGACTTGAGTTGCATGAATGTTGTTACAAATCAATTTTGTTCATCTTACTTGTTGCAAGAAGCTACGCGTCATTATAAATAGAAACCATCTCTTATGCAACCTCTATTGAATTGAGATGCCCCGCTTGAAATGCAAAATTTTTGCCACACATTAATTAATGTAAAAAGTTAAATATATTTATAAATTAGATGCTCATATTCAAATAAATTGAGTACTCATTAAATAATGCAATTAAAAAAAGAGATAAGGGTCAGTTTGGTACTCGAAGTTGCAAAAAATGGGTCAAATAAGTCCTTATATAGAAGATTCTGTCCGGACGTGCCATTTGAGGTGTTTCCCGGTGGAATTTTTAGATAAATATTTTTGAGCATCTTATTCATTAAGTCTAGTTTAGTCATACCAAATTTCAGATAAAAATTAAATCGGGAAGACATTGAAATGAATTCTTGAAGATAACTGTGTTGTTAAAAGCACAGTTATCTTCAAGAATTCATTTGAATGTCTTCCTGGTTGAATTTTTAGCTGAAATTTGGTATGACTAAACTAGACTTAATGAATAAGATGCTCAAAAATATTTATCTAAAAATTCCACCGGGAAACACCTCAAATGGCACATCCGGACAGAATCTTCTGTATAAAGATTTATTGACGTCTTTTTTGCAACTTCGAGGATCAAACTGACCCTTTACTCATTAAAAAAATCTGAAAGTTACTAAAACTACATCCGTCCCACTAATATTGAAACGGAAGGAGGTGACATAGTTATTAAGAAAAGAGAGTTTATCTGGTTGATATTAATTGATAAAGTAAGAATAAAGTAAGAATGATTTAGATCCACACAAACTTTACCAATTTTGATATGAGACAATTTTAGTAGGATTTCCCAAAAAGACAAAATGAGACAATATTAGCGGGATGAATGGAGTATTAGATAAAGCAAAACAACTTATTATTCAAGCACTTTGAGCAAAAGAGCACTAAAAGCACTGATGAATAAAAATGGTGGATCTGCATTATTCTTCCTTACTCACTCTATATTATCATCTGTATTAACACATGAAGTATAATACTACTATATATTACTATTAAACTTTTAAAAAATTTGAGCCTCTTTAATTAGTGGTACATGTTGTATAGAATCAGCTTAACTTGTTCAAAAACTTCCCCAGTGTTATGTTAAGTTGAGGGGATCTAATATCGCTAGCTATTTAACTAGCTTCGTGGAACTTTTGAAAAAGTCAACAAGCTAAGTAGGCGTTACTTAGCATACAATGATGACATTGATTAAAGTTACATATATTACATGTAGTGAACTCTATCCATGAGATTCCAATAGCCGCATAGGATCTTTTGATCGTAAATTTAAATAATATGCCAGTAGAAACATTTAGACGTAGTTATGACTTATGATATTCATTTGTTTCATTTTTTAAAGAGTTAATTAAGATATCAAAGTGAAATAATATCAATAACTAAACTTCTATTTACGCATTTTACTCTCAAGTTTGCACATATGTACAAGTTAATTATACGTAGTACTTTTGACTGATGGTGCTTATCCTGTACACTAATATAAAATGTTTAGTTTTTTACACTTCCTCCCAAAAGGTAGGATATTCTTATGTATAATTGGGTGATTCAAACAAAAATTAAGTTACAAATACAAAATTGGGCACTATCCAATCGTGCAACGCGCGTATAAAACTAGTTTAGTATAATTACCTATGGTTCTTTAAATTTGTATTTATAAAAACAACATTGAACACCCAAAATTGGAATCCCAAATCCGCCACTGCTTGGTGGTTGTCTATTTTATGTATATTTTACAACTCCTGATGTCTGGTCTGATCTGATATGGTTTACTTTGGTATATTTGAGTTTTGCCTAGTCTCGTATGGGATTGAAATCAATCCAATTAAAAACATGCTTACAATGTTGTCCTGCCTATAAAAATTGTACGTAGTATTTTTTATGCTTAGAAGTTAGAATAAATACGTAGATTCAGGGTTGGTTTGCAACAACTTAAATAAAAAAGCACTTCTCAGCTTTTGGCTTAAAAAGCACTTATTTACCTAACACTACCAATTTTTACTTTTCTCGGCTTTCGTGTGAAAAGTGTTTTTTCCTTTTCTATTACACAAAAGGCACTTATTTTACCAAACATTACCAACTTTTACTTTTCAAAATCATTTTTTCTCAAACACTATCAACTTTTACTACTAATCACTTTTTCCAAATCACTCCGAAAGTGCTTTTTTTAAGCAGAAGTAGTTGCAAACCACCTATCCACTTCAAATTTAAAATATTGTGAAAGGTTACTTTTAAATCTTATACTCTTATGTTGCAGATATAAATTATAGAAACTATTGTTTTCTTGATGCTTTCTTACACCTTCGAGAAAACTTTTTTTACATCGTTTAGATTTGCAAGCACTTACAATGAGATATTGGCCAATGATGATTTTGTTGTGAGGACATAAATTTGGTCCTATGTTTTTAGGGAGATTCAAAATTAAGCTATAGTTTTTTTAAGAAATTAAACTATAGGTTTTATACTTTTATTTTGGCATATTTAGATCGAGAAAAAATTGCTAAATAGGAATGGTAAAAATGACCTATTCAATGTAGTGACTATTCACTATGATATTCATTTTTAAGTTTGGTTAATCTCTAACTAAGCACTATGATCGATATATCTCGATACCTATATTTTGGCATATGTAAAACCATGTTTAAAAGTCTAGTTAATCTCCAACTAAGCACTATGATATATCTCAATGTTTATATTTTCCGATGTTAACCCTAGCATGAGCCCGATTACTTCCATTTTTCGGTATTTGCGTCATATCTGCATGCTGATTTTTACCACCTTGCATTGGTTTTGAACAATCCCGAAGTTCAAACAAATGGGGATTTGAATATGCATGAAGTATAAAATTAACCAAAATCTTAGCTCATGTTCATTTGATAATGATATGATGGTTTAGGGTGGATTATCGTCTCCTGGTGCAAAAGCACTTCATCATTCTAAGTTATGTGTCACCGTTCCAAGAGAGCCTCGACTAGAGACTCATCGAAGGGCACAATGGCGGAGGTACATCACATTATATCATTAAAAGTCAATCTTATAGAAAGAGCAGTTATGTGCGTTAATTTGTGCTATATAAAGTATATTTGGTCGTTATTGGAATTGGACAATAACCCAACATGTTTCTTATTCTCTTAGCCCACACTAGGCCGGATATAGCTTGAGGTGGATGGATTTAACACACTAATCCCAAACAGGTCATCTCAAATCATGGTCGTTGAAATGAATAAATTTCAACATGTTTCTAATTCTCTTGGCCCAAACCCGGCCTTACCCCACACCGGGCCGGATATAGCTTGAGGTGGATAGATGGGTCACACCAACCCCAAACAGGTTATCTCAAACCATGGTTGAAATGAATTATTTCAACTAGAGCATATACTGGTGTTAAATTAAAATTCTGAATTTCATCTTATAAGGTCATAGTTATAAAAGTAGTAATTCATTATCTTACATGTTGATTGTTGTTTTATATTTTATTCAGTAGCAGATCTTGCAAACAAATTTTGGGTGTTCAAATTTATTTTACTATTAATATGTTAATAATATTATGTGATCCACTAGTTATATAAATGTTAAACAAATACTTCTACACTCGATCATTTCATGTCTTTTGTTTTAACTATTGTGTGCCCTAATAAATTCTATTATTATATTACTGGTATTGTAGGTTCAAGTCCAAATATGATTTAACCTCAAGTGATCATATTACATCACAGAAACAAATATCATCCAAAGTTCGGTCATCCAAGAAAAAAGTTAGTATCATTAACACTTTAGTTGTCCATTTGCATATATTTGTACAAAAGTAAATCTATATACTCCGTATTAAGACTTTTGACATGATGCTTATAGATTTTTGGGTCGCATTCAACGCCTGAATCCAAAATAAGAACACAGAAATCACCAATATCCCAAGTAAGTAATTATAGATCTTAATTCCTCAAGTCCTCAAATATCTTCGAATAACAATATATTGTGTTGCATAATAAGAAATACTACGTATTTAGGATATCATTAAATATTTTTAATAAAATTAGGATTGTGTCCTACATTTAATATTTTTCAATTCAAACTTTTGGACTACATTACATTAACTTATTTCTCTAACATGCATCATCATGATTTTCTTCAGGAATACAAAAGCTCAAATGAGAAGAAGCTTTTACTACATCCACCAATTGAGTTATTTAGCAAGGTATTAAGCCTTGTAGTCATCATAAGAATGACTATTTGATTTAGTACAATACTCTTGCATACTCTCACAATTAACCAAAGTATTCCTCTTTGATATCTCAGTTGACCCTGAAATGTGAAATGAACAGTGATGAAGAATCTCAACCAAAACAACATCATTAGAAAAGGTGAAACTAAACCAACTTGGTCCAAAAATGGTTGATTTGTATGTCAGCATTGTATTGTGAAAATTAGATTATTATTAAGAGGACTTGCATGCTACAAATTTAATATGTTCTTTTATGTTTTAGAATTTTAGGTTATTATTTCACCAAAGATTTGGTGGAATCCTGTCCTTATGTAAAAATGTAAGTTTGTTCAATTTCTCAAAATCAAGAACCCCATTGAGGCTTCAGAGTTCAGATCTCTTGGACTGATATTGTATTAGAAGTTGGTGGTATAAACCTCAAAGGTAAGCGTAGCTGATAATATCATTGTATGTTACTTTATTGTGTTATATTTTATCAATGTTATAACAAATTATTCAAATGTGATTCATATGCAAGGACACAACGGAACAGCTTAATTACAGAACAATTCAACTAGATTTCATTGCATACTCTTAAACATAACTCATAGCAGCAATGTGATGAGAATCATATTTTACTACAAAATATATCATTAGAATTTGATCATCCCTACATTGTTCTAAACAGCCAACTGTAACAAAACTTTGACTAATTAAGGGCCAGCATTAATTTTCCAAATTTAAATGGTGTTTTTGGATATGGCTTCCCCGAACCTAACCGTCCACTGTGCATCATTGGAATTGCCATCTTCCCGGTGGTTTTCAGACTGCCCATTCCCCAACAGAAACTGTGCATAGTTGAAAGATTTCGGTGCAGCCACGTAAGGCTTTTCCGGTGGTGGTGGAAGAAAAGAGGTGAGAACCCTAGCAACTTCATGCATGGTTGGCCTCTCTGTTGGGACCCGCTTTGTACACAACAGTGCAAGTTGGAAGGTTTTACTAACATGGGTTAAATCTGTGCAAGTTACCGACACCTCAGTATCAACGGCTTCCATCACGGTGTTGTCATCTGCCTTTGACAGTATCTATAAAACACACCAATAATTAGCAAAATCAATTTAAGCCAGAAAAAATTAATTAAGGGTCCATTTGGAACTAGGAAAGTGCTATGGAAACTTAAATGAAAGATTTATTTTGATATCTTGTCAACCACTTTTTTGTATATAAAAACATATACATATAATTTATAAAAACAATAAAACCATGTTTGGTTTTCTTTTGTACTTTCGTAAAACCAAACACAACAAAATTACTTTCTGTAGCATTTTCTATGATCCAAACAAATCCCAAGTAAAAACATAAAAACAATGAAGTTGGTGAACAAGTGAGAGCTTAAGTTACTATCTGAGAAATGAGAAGATTACCAGCTGGTGCAGGTTCAAGTCATTGTCCACGGGCTTCTTCCCGGTCAATAGCTCCAAGAGAACGATTCCAAAACTATAAACATCTGATTTTTCAGTCAACCGTGACGTTCGGGCATACTCTGGATCAATATAACCAATGGTGCCAAGAACATAGGTTGAAGTATGACCCTTTGTTGAAGACATACACTTCGCAATCCCAAAGTCTGAGAGACGAGCCACAAAATCTTCATCCAAAAGAATGTTTGAAGATTTCACATCTCGGTGGATGATTATTGGGTTGCAATCATGGTGAAGATAAGCAAGTCCCTGTGCTGCTCCGACAGCTATTTTTAGACGTGTATCCCAGTCCAGTTTAACCTTCTTAGAGGGACCTGCTATGCAAATTAATTGAACAGATCCAGGGGTTACACACTTGCACCAAACTTGACATTGATATGGGCCTTAATGCCTTAGTGGTTAATGTACTTTAATGGTCCCTCCCTCTGCTAGTACAAAATGTTCAATTTAGTCACCTACTGTTAAAGTTGATTAAATAAATCCATGTACTTTAAAAATTTGACTTATAGAGCAACTTAAATAACATATCTACAGAAAAAAGTAAGTTTAATAATTTACACTTCTTAAAAATCATAAAGAACGTTTACCTGATGTACTTGATGGATTCTAAATTTGTAGCTCTCATGTATGTATAGATTATATAAACCATCACAATCTTCATAAATAGATACTATTAAAATACACTACCTCCTCTTTTACTTGGATTGTTTATAATAAAAATGAGATATGTTGCTTAAATTTCAGGATGGGGATAGAGAAAATTGAATAGTACAAATCCTGTTTAGAAGGAAATAAAACCCCTATTTTGGGATAGATTAAAACAAAAAGGGAGGGAGTATGTGATAATACACTCTATTTAGGCACAAAGGGGTATGTGATTATACATTACAAATAAATAAAATTGACAACTTTTTGAAAAACAAAATGAAACAATTTGTAAACAGTACATTTTTCAATGAAACTGAGTAATATTATATTTTCCAAATCGAACATCAATATATTCAACGTTGCTTTACGCACACATCAATGTATGTACATACATACATAGATATTACTTCCTCCATTCTTTTGTAGTTGCAACGGTCAACATTTCACACTTGCCAACGCACGTCTTTGACTGTAATTATATCCTAATCTCTATTAGTAAAAAATAATTAAAAATCAGATTTTGAAAAGTTGTAATGAGAAGAATTGAACAATTTTTTTATAAAAAAATAATTTTCGTAAAACAATACTGTAAAATGTAGTCAAAGTAGAACATGTGAATAGTGTAAAATTCAACATGTTGCGATTAAAAAAACGGAGGATAGTATAAATATATATAAATTAAAAATAAACAAGACTTGTGGCTAACTTAACAGTTTTTATAGTGTAGTATTAAGAACATAGGTTGAAGTATGACCCTTTGTTTGAAGAACATAGGTTGAAGTATGAGAGTTTTTGTTGAAGACATACACTTCGCAATCCCAAAGTCTGAGAGACGAGCCACAAAATCTTCATCCAAAAGAATGTTTGAAGATTTCACATCCCATAAGTACATTTGCAAAATACGCTAACTTAACAGTTTTTTATAGTGTAGTATTAATACATTAACTTAGTTGTATATTTTTTGATAGCATAGTGACTTCTGACCACATTATTATTGAAGTAAACAATGAAGAGGGAAATATATCTAGAATCTTCTAGAATGGTAAAAGCGCACTGACCATGAAGAAGATCCCAAAGCGAACCATTCACCATATAGTCATAGAAGAGGAGGTTCCCATGTGGGGACAGCGAATAACCATGCAAGCTAACAACATTTCTGTGCCTTATGCTTCCAATGGTGTCCAGTTCAGTCTCAAACTCCCTTAAACTGTAGGGGCGCTGAGTGTAAATTCGCTTGATGGCAATGGGTCGGGAATTTTTCAGAACACATTTGTATACAGTGCTTGAAGCGCCATATCCAATTATGTATTTTTCATTCAGATCTTCAGTGATCCTCATTATGTCCTCGTAAGAATGAATGGCCATGTCCATGTGCAGTATTACGAGTTTTGGAAAAACTATGGGGGTTGGGGGTCCCTTCATGAATGGTCTGGATTTGTTGGATCTGTAGACTGCAACTATCACCATGGATAGAAAAGCAATGAATCCCAGCACTATGCACACAAGGGCTGTTCTTGAAAAAATGGCTGCAATAATAATAAGAATATAACAAAGCAAGGTATTATGAGCACAAAAGTAATTGGCGAGACATGGTGACATCAGCATGAGAAAAATGTTGAGCACAAAGGTAATTGGCGAGACATGGTGACATCAGCATGAGAAAAATGTTGGGCATAGCATGTTTACCCTTTGCCTTTGGTCCATATGGATTGCATATCGAACCTCGCCAGTTTCCACAAAGCAATGGGTTCCCAAAGAAGCTGATTACAAGAAAAGTGTTTCTTAAGCAATTGAGAAGCCAGTATCATAACAATAATACAATAACTTCATCAGGAAAGAGATTTAGGGTACGTCTGGTATCCAGAAATAAAACTGAAGAAAAAGGAAAGCCATTAAGAAAGTTATTTTGTCAAGTTTAGTTTTTTTACCTCTGGAAAACTTAGAGGAAATTAAATATGGTTATAATTTTTCAACACATTTAGATTTTTTTAATCACTATCTGATAGAAATAATTAAATGAAGCCAGCGTTGGTGAATATATATATATCTAAAATATACTTTGAATATATATGGCATAAAAAATTTTAGCCCCAAAATAATCTTTCCTTTCAATTTTATTCCTTATTTTCTTTCTCTATTTCTTTCAGGATCCAAGAAGAACCTAACATGATTTAACTCCCACAAATCTTTAGACTATGTTTGGCATAAAGAAAACACGTTTAGATTAAAGTTTGATTTAAAGTTGAAATCTTTAACATGAGTACCCAAAACTGATGAATCATGCTTGAAGAAATTTCTGATTTTCCCTCAATTCTTTCAATCGGAACTTTTTCTCTATTTTGTGGGTTCCAAAAAGACCCTCAAAGTTACCTGTCAGGTGAAAACTTATGGAAACTCTGGTTGCGAGGAACAGCACCACTGAGATTATTATAGGAGACATTCCTGATGAAGGAGTTACAATAATTAGCTTCAAGAATAAAGAAACCAACACATTGCAACAATAATTTAATATTCTACAAGGGCTTACATATGAACAAGACTCAAACAATTCGCTAGCTGTTCAGGAATTTGCCCACTGAGATTGTTATGTGCGAGAGAACTGACATGACAAATATAACAGTAGAAGGGGAAATTAATGGAAATCATATAAGAGAAGTTGGAGAATTGCAAGTTAAATGGTATGAGCTTACAGTGAATTAAGGTTTTGAAGTTGGCCAAATTCTTTTGGGATTTCACCAGAGAGTTTGTTCCGTGACATATCACTGCAATGATTATTAAAAAAACTTGTAAGTAGATTAAAACTCACCAAAGATCCAAGCCTCAATGTAACAGTGACATCAAACTTACATAATCTCTATACTTCTCAAATTGCCAAACTCCATTGGGATGGGCCCCATAAGATGATTGTGACTTAAATTCCTATGATTTGACAGGACAACAATTAATTAGTGAAAATTATACATGAATATTGAACTCCAACAATCTCTGCAAGAACCTTATATTTATTTTGGAATCAGTGAATATATGATAGAGGGAAATAATTTTAGTATCTTTTCAACCCAGCCACTCGGATTTTAGTCTGCAAGTTTATCTACACTTGGGGTACATTTAGTTTGGGAAAATAGATGGAGGTCAAGAAAGCACATTAATACTTTATTTCCCTCCTCTTGTCCTCTTGGGTAATTCAAACAAAAGAAAATTGGCTCTTATCTTTTTTCCTCTCTCCGTATTTTATATCAATCCATACTAGGGAAACAATATTAAGGACTAAAATAAAATTCAATTTGTTTTCCTATTTTACATTCCCTAACGGGTAAAGGTTTGTGTCTTACAATGTAAGAAGATGCTCCAAATCACCTACAGAAGCAGGAACAAATCCAGAGAATTCATTGCCAGAGAGATCCCTAAAAGGAAAGCATGCATTGTTTTATAACGTGACGGTAGAATTGGAAGCATGTATAATTTATTGCATGTGGGTAGAAAAAAGCATGCATCAGGTAAGAAACATACAATGTATCAAGATTGATAATGCGTCCAAGCTCAGTAGGGATGGTTCCCTTGAATTCATTTGAAGAAAGGTTCCTGGGGTTAAAGAGAAAAATATATTACATCCATGTGGTGGATAAATTTACATTAATCCTTCTCGCATTAGTCATAAACTTCAGTGTGTGACATACAAATATGTCAGACTTTCTAGATCCCGGAAACTAGAAGGTATGGAGCCAGTCAACTTGTTGCCATGCACATTCCTAGACAAGAAAACAGATTTGTTAACACCACGTGGAAAAGAAGTCCACAAATCTACACTTCTCATATAGAAGTCGTTTTGAATTGGATGTATGCACACACTTGAGTAAAGCAGTAAAATGTAAACCCAAGACCATAATTGCCGATTGATATTGTACTATAGAGCATTTATGGACGTAAAAGGGCAATTGTCGAAAATTAGCAATCACATGCTCTCTTGATATTTAAAACCCCATATTTGCAAAAATAATTGTAGTTCTCTGAAGAGACAGTAACTAAAGAAAAGAGTGAGTATAAGAGATAAAATAAGTGTAGCCAAGAGAGAACACTGGTTTTTTTCAAAGCTGATACTTACAACTGATTCAAAGCTCTGCAAGAGCTGATGTTTTCAGGAATATGTCCTTCAAGATTGTTGTTTGCAAGATTCCTGAAAGAAGAGTGGTTTGACGATTTTGTGAGTGGATAAATGATAAGAAAAGAAATGTGAAGATAAATTAATTAATTCAGGCTCACAGTTCAAATAATTGATCAAGTTTCCCAAGCTCAGGCGGGATTCTTCCAACCAGTTCATTGTCATTTAATTGCCTGTAAAGAACTTTGATTAATTATATTCCTTTTGGGGAAGATGATTTTCTCAATGGCATGTGAAATGCAAAGTCAAAACTTACATGTAACTAAGTCTTGACAGGTTTCCCAATTCTGGTGGGATTGGGCCAGTGAGCTTGTTTCCATGCAGGTAGCTGGAGTAGAATGCAAATATTAATAAACATGAAAATAAAATTAGTGGGAAAATAATATGACTAGGATTGTGCTCTTACAGCTTTCCAGTGTAGGACAGGTTTCCAAGAATTGGTGGAATTGGCCCTTCCAGTTGGTTCTCGCTCAAGTCCCTTGAGAAGATAAATATAAGTAAAAACTTAAGAACTCAAACAAATAAGTTTATTTCTAAGAATTGTTCTTGTGAACTACATTAGCTAATACTTACAAAACAGCAAGTGCTTGCATCAGACCTAAAACCTCAGGAATTTTACCAGATAGCATGTTTCCTTGTAAAGACCTAAAACAGTAAAAAAGCACAGGATTAGGGCAAATATTGTTCAGTGAAAACCATTGGAGTTCGAAGCACAAAGAACCTTATTTAACTTACAGGGTTGCAACTTGAAGAAACCCAATATTGTAAGGTATCTCTCCAGTAATTTGGTTGTATGAAATATCCCTAGAATGAAGAAAACAAAATTTCTCAAAAGTTGCTATTATGAAGCATAATAAAAAGAAAATTAAACTTTATGAAATAACTTCATATCATTACTTACAGGATCTCAAAGCTAGTGCAGTTGCCAATGTTATCTGGAATTGTCCCGGTGAGGTTATTTCCACGTACATCACTATACATAGAAGCACAATAAGTTCATGTCTACAAAACGCTTAATCCAACGACTTGTTCGTAAAGGAAAAGTATTTATTAACAAGCATTTCGGCCAAACATGTAAGTGAAGTGATCTACTCAATACTCATGCTGATTTTCTTAATTATCTTCATTTCAAGAAGATTAAGGACAAAGGTGCTACCAAATGAGCATAGAGTAATGAAGAAACTACGTAATGAAACAGAGTACATACAAATACCACAGGCCAGTCAACTGGCACATATCAGGAGACAGTGTTCCAGTTAAGAAATTGCCCCGTAATCCCCTTCACAAAAATTTAGAACATCATTAATCAATCAGAACTTGAATTTAAGTAATAAAAATCTCAAAGATCTATCGAGGACAATAAATCAATGAGAAGAAAAAATAGTAAAACTTGAGAAACATTAATAATTATATTGTAGTAATTAAACATTTATCAAGAGAGTAGTAATAGTTTAGCACTTACAGGTATTGCAAGACTTCATTCCAATAGATCAATCTCGGAATCTCGCCGTTAAATTTATTTCTAGCGAGATCGCTGTCAATGTGGTAAACAAATATTCCTTAAGACACATTAATTATATTTTGTACATGTGGTAATTAAACATTTATCAAGTATAACTACTCACAGAGTTTTGAGGTTAGGAATCTGAGTTAATGTTGACGGTATGGGCCCCGTAAGTTGGTTGTTTTTCAAGTTTCTATATTTAATAAGAATATAAGAATATATTAGAACAAAAAATGACACAAAAACACAAACTCACACTTTCTATAATTAACATCATGAGCTAATAAACAAAATAATCACAGCCTAACACTCACAACAACTCAAGCTGCTTTAATTTTGATATGGAGAAGGGTATATCACCATATATCAAATTATCAGACAAATCACTGCAAAATAAATAAAGTCAATCAATCAGTCATCTTCTAAAAAGAGCTATAGAAAAAGAGAGCTTTGAATAAAGACAGCAAGTTTTCCAGAAGTATTAAAAATAATAATTACAGAAGAATCAATGAAATGCAGTTCCCAATCTCGTCTGGAATTTGTCCAGACAACTGGTTCCCCTGGAGATCTCTGAAAAAAGTTCAAAAAAAAACCGCATCAAGTAATATTCACTTTAAATTTAAAATCTAACTTTAAAATAACAAAAAAGTAAGATGAGCCGAAAAGAAGAAACATACACAGACTGCAGGTTCTTTAACTCGCCAATTGCTGGTGAAATTTCACCTCCCAAGTTCAGATTCGACAAGTTCCTTCATCATCGAAAATAACGATGCCCATTACATTCTAACTCCGTTATCATACAAAATCTAACTCAGTGACGGAATATTCCACATTTCCACCGAAATGAACTTACAGAGAAACAACAGACATGCTGATATTCCCACAAGAAACTCCCCGCCATGTACAGAAATCTTCGTTATGGACATCATCCCAGTCCAGCAGCACATTAGCAACATTGCTGAAAGAAGCTTTAATGGACATCAATGCTTTCCCTGAAACCAGAAAACAAGTATTTTACACTCAACCCATTCCAGAATACGAGAAGCCCGAACAAAAAAAAACCGACCCAGACCAGTAAACACTAAAAGCTCGCACCTTCTTGCCCAAGACATGACCCAAGAGAACAGAAAAGCAAAACGACAGAGACAACAACAAAACCCAGAGAAGCTTTCATCTTCTTGGTCTCCGGGTACGAGAAATTCCCCACCACTAAAGAAGAAAGAGCAAAATAAACCCAAAACGAAAGAATGGGTATTTTTTTGCAGCTATATCTCAGAGCAGAGAGGTGGGACTGGGGGGGAGCAGAGCTAGAACAGAGAAGCAGAAGAAGCAGGCATATTGCGTGAGTAGATAACAACAGCGATGGGGTAGGGTGGTGGGGTGGTGTGGGGTGGGGGGCGTTAAATATCACGCTATTCTATATGCAGACAGTGACACCAAACGGGGAAAAGCAAATTTATTTTTTCGCTTTAGATTTTATATCTCCGAGGGAAAAAGGAAGAGAAGAAGATGGCCACAAACGGCGGTGAAGCGACGTTAAGTATGGTGTGAAAGGTGGCCGTCGCTTTCTCGTACGGCCCTTTCCCGTTGTTGTGACATTGACAGCTATGGACTCAGTTCTTCTTCTCACGCGCCTGGACGAGAGCGTGGGTAGTTTTACTTTTCATCCGGACGGTGTGACGAGAACGAGGATATAATATTCTCTTCACGCGCTTGGAGCGAGAGTGGGAAAGGTGCAAGTGGGACCTGCTTCTTGATTCTGTTAAAGCCTTCGGGACAATGAAATTTCCATTTCCACCCCCCATTTTTTGCCCTTTTGGTACAAAATTTCTATCAGTACCTCAATTGTGCAGCTGTGGTAAATTCAATCATTTCTTGTAATTTTTGGAAAAAACTCATCTTGGTAAAAGGCACTTTCATTTTGGTGCCAAATCAAAGGTAAAGTTTCTGGCTTCACAACATCCACGACCCTAAAAGGCAAAAGGGTAACTCGTCTTACGTTAGTGTAATTTAAAACCAGGGATGATTTTTGTGCTACTCCATGCAAGAAACGTGTCTTTCTTCTCACCTTATCTCACTAGTACTCGAAGTTACGCCGTAGGATGTGTGAATAAGGTCATGTCCAATATGGATTCTCAAACATTTAAATAGATATTAATAGAGTTTAGAATTGTGTCTGAATTTAGATGTCTCCGATTACGATATAAGTCCCTTAAAACTTTGCCAAAGTTGACTAGTATGAAGAATAATAACGTAAAAACTGTGTGGTTGATGTTTGTGCAGAGGAGAGAGAAATAACAGAAACTACAAAATATTGATTAAAAGGGAAAATGACAACGTTTTTGGGGACGTCCCAAAAAGGAAAGATGACAAAGTTTTACGGGACGGAGGGAGTATGTGACATCTACTCGTATGAAAATCAGGGTGTTCTCAAACATTCCGTGAATTTCTATTACTCCCTCCGTCCCTAAATAAACTTCTAACTTTCCTTTTTCGTCAGTCCCAATTAAAACTTCCACTTTCGTTTTTTGGTCAGAATTTGTGGTTCACATCAATTCTTACACATTTCTCTCTCCTCTGCACAACCCTCCACCACACAATACCCACTATCTTAAACTCTGTGTCAAACCTATTTGGAAGATATAATAGGGACGGAGGGGGTATTACTTATTTGGATGAATTTTAATGGAATTTGGTAGATTTCTACATATAAAAACATTTCACCACAAACTTGTAGACTTCCCTCATATTTCAAAATTCATGATCTTTTAAAATCAATCAAAGCCATGGTTGGGGGGCATCCCCTTAAAATTTATAAAAATTGCCCTAAATAGGAGTAAAAACATTTTGAAATTCAAAAATGGGACTTTTATGTTTTTATTATAAAAAAAAAAGTAATTCTGCCAAGTTTGGAAAAAAAAATGTCATGTTTTTAAAGCCTAGTGATGGATTGCCAACCCTGGTGGTAGCCGAGATCCGGGAAAGTAAGGGAGAAGATTGGAGAAGCTTAAGTAAAGTCGGGTATGAATTTCAGCAGAGTACCAGCAAGAGAATTCAATTTGCAGATCCCTTTGCCATGTTGGAAGGTAATATTTATACTAAAATGGTAGTACTTGACCAACAAGTAAAAAGATGTGAATCTACTGTGGAGAGGACACATGTCCTTCCAGTGTAACAAAATAACAGACTAATCTATTAGAGTGTTGACACGTGTAAAGATGATTAGAGATATAATTAGTACAACTAGCTGATTGGAACTGCTTGTAACAAACTTGTAACGGAACACACGTGCGGGTTACACGTGTGTTATCCGGATTATTCCTTTCTTCTATCAGCTGGGGGTGACGTGGCATTTCCTGGAGTAGTGGTGACGTGGCAACACCTTAAGTAATACTCTAATCCAAGAAACGCCTAAGTCCATATATCGTTGGAGAGAACCTGAGCCCCTGGAGGTCAGATCTCGGATGCTCGTGCTCGTTACTAAAGAATTCTATCTCTGGTCTCTAGTCCTGTTTGGTAGCTATGACTTTCATGTTGACTTTGTTTGACCCTGGTTGACCTCGCATCAGTGTCAGAGGTCAGAATAGGGACCGAGCTCGGTGTGCTCGAGATCGGCCTCATATATTGCCTTATCTAGGTGATTCCCAAGCTCAGCGTTTTTCTCGACCTCGGGGGGTCGAGCTGAGGTCGGGCTCAGTTGCATCTTCTATTCTTTATCGATTTGTCATCTCGTGCTTAGTCCCGACCTCGGGAGGGCGAGATTGGCCTCAGTTGGAACTTCAGTGCTTAATTATTTTGGAATACCTTTGTGGCCTGAGAGCGGTGATTATGATACCCTTGGGGTATATGGAAATATACTCCATCACCTAGTAATGTCAAACTTGGCAGAAGTTTACTCATATTCGGGGAATAAAAAAACATGATAGTTCTGTTTTGGAATTTCAATACTTTTTTACTCTTATTTAGTGAATTGTCTCCAAAATCTATTGTGAAACAAATTATCAAATTTCAGTCTTATTTAGTTGTTAAAAAAAAATTGACACTTCGATTTAAAGTAAATTACTCGGAGTATAAAATAGGAGTAAAAACATTTGTCAATTCTAAAATAGGATCATTATGTTTTTGTTTAGTAAGAGTAATTATAGACACTTTTTTACATTACCCGCTTAAAACATACCTTGCATATTGGAGTACTTTTCAAGTCATTTTTTCTTGCCCCTTAAAAAAAGTCATTTTTCTTGCATTATCATGTTTTAAACAAGGAGTGTTATTTGTTAAATAAGAGCATAGTACTTCTATTTTGAAATTCTGAAACGTTTTTACTTATATTTTCGAATTTTTTACCTTTAAGTGATAAAAGTATGTGATTAAAAGTATTTCTCCTTTTTTGTATTAATCATACAATTTTTACTTATTATTCTAATTGTAAATCAAATTTGATTAAGTTTTATAAGATAAAGACAATATGTATATATCGAGAATCATTAGAAAACTACTTTGATAAAAAGTGGCATAGTTGTCTGAATTAAATAACGAAACACAAATTGCTCTAAATAGGAGTAAAAACGTTTTGAAATTCCAAAATATGAGTATCATGTTTCTTATTCCTTGAATAGAAGTAATCTGCCAAGTTTGGAAAAAATTGACATGTTAAAAGCTTTGTAATGCCAAACTTGGCAGAAATTTACTCTCATTTAGGGAATAAAAGACATGATACTCTTAATTTCTAAACGTTTTTACTCCTATTTAGGAAATTCTCCACCAACCAAAACAACCCTTCATAAGTCCGTAGGCAAAGACATTATGTACGTGTTGACGTTGGTATTAATTAATTTAATGTACCAATCGAAACTAGTAGTAATAATGACGGAATACATTACTTTCTTGTAAAAACCGGTCCTGAATAGTAAAATTGCATCTAGGGAAGGAGGGAACATTATTATTGACTAATCATATCGGCTAATGCACGTGTAACAAGCTGGATTTAAACTCCGTGGCTTTTATTTTACCTCTTAATTAATTAAGACTATCCGGTAAGTGCTTAATTATTGATTTCCAGATAAGTGATCAAAGTGAAATTGCTCCTCTTATGATTCACTTTCTGTGGAAAAGTAAGACATCTTAATTTTTAAAAATAAACAATGATTGCATTCTATCCAAGTTTGAAAAGTAAGACATCATGTGGCCGTTTGGATATTTTTTGCGGTAAATGAACGGGATTTAAATTTGGTAATAGCTACAAATGGATATTTTTTGACTTTGCGGGTGATAATTCACTATGGTACTGTGGGGAGAAAAGGTCAAAAATGCAGGGGCGGAGCCAAGACATGGGCGGACTAAACCGACACCAAGTTTTTTTTTTAAAAAAAAAAAATTACACGAAAATTTTGATACTAAAAATATAGACATTTTTTAAATTTGGATTGAGCGATGGTCAAGGTTGGCCACCCCACCTATGTTCTTGCAAGAACCATATACATATATCCAATGATTGTATTTATACAAGTTATAATGAGCATTACATTAAATACAAATACACGTGGAAATCAATTTATGGGCGATAGCCTAGCTGTGCTGAAAATAGTGAATAGTTGTATCCAATACAGCTTATTTGAGTATTATCAAACAGGTTCTTAATCAAGAGCATGGTATCATTTATTTTTCGGCAGCTCATCGTTGTCATTTTTAGAATCGCATCATCATTTTGCATGAGGGTCACACCATGATCATATATTAGTTTGACTATGATACAATGTTAAGTCTCAGAGTCTCATGCTAATAGTCCACATGGTAAAAGATATAGTTCAGGATCTTGATAAAACTTTCCTATTTTAACCCTATTTAGTAACTCCTGTTTTCATTTTACCAGTCTATTTGTGAAACGCGCTAAATTATGTAATAATCAAAGTAAATAAGTTAGGAGTTATTCTAGCTGAAGAGGGTCAATTTAATTAAAATGACTTTTTTTAACTTTTTTTGTAATTTTTAAATGTTATACGAAGTATTGTTTATATCCCAGTAGATCGAGTCGATTCAACTTTTTCTACATATAACTTCATCCATCTGAATAGATTGAGATAATCCAAGCAATTTTTGTTTTATTTTATCAAGAGTCCGTTTGATGACCTTGTTTTTCAGCTTATCAGGCTTATCAGATAACTTTTTCATCAAACACTTAATTTGTTATTTCGCGCATTGAATTGTATAATACTCTGTAATAAGAAAAAGTAAGGTTAAAGTTACTTTTCTGACTGTATTGGCTGAAGTTATCGTAGATGATCATTTTAGCTATGTTTTAATATAATTTTTCTTTATTTTATTATTAGAAAATATTTTCTAATTTTTTCATAAATAAGCAGAATCAATCAATCCAACCACTTCAGCTAAAACTTAATTAATTTCAGCAGAATCAGCCGATTCAACCAATTTGAATGTTTGAAACGGCATCCAAATCAAATAGGCTTTGAATGATTATTATTTGGCCTATTTTTACTTTTCACACATCTCATATATACAGTCACCAA